CCAAGCCGAGCCCGGCTGGTACGTCTCTGCCCAGCAGCCCGAGGAGGAGGCGGCGGCTGCGGAAGAGTGGAGCCCGTTGCTAAGCAACGTAAGTGGGCTCCGCTAGCAGCGCGGGGCTGATGCGCTGTGGCATCCACCAGCGCTTGCAAGAAGAGTTCTACACTGCAGGGTACAGACCCCGGGGTGGGGCCCGAACCACTGACCCCAGCCGAGTTTGGAATGTGGCAGCAACTTGGAGCTCTCAGTCAAAAGTGGGGCTTGGGACACCGGCGGGAGGATGAACTAGGGTTTTGTGACTCACCGTTGTTTTGTATCTTTGTCGCCTTTTCAGTTCCCTCTAGTCTTGTGAGGTCTTTGCAAGAATCATGAGATATTTCTTTTCATGGGGCAAAGGGTACTTTAGTACAGAAGACCCTGTAAGTGGAGACGAGGAGAGAAATCTGTTGATATGCACGTAGCTTGTCCTTAACCTAAAGCTGCTGTGGTGGGCTGTGTGTGCCCCAGGACCCCCGCCCCTTTTCCGTGCTGAAGGGCCAGCCCAGCGCCTTGGGCATGCTGGATAAGTGCCCTAACCCAGACCTGCTTTCCAGTCCTGGTACTCCACTTTTCAACTCAATCCTTCGACTGTAACAAATGATAGCTTTGCTTCTGTTGGCCCTGTAAGGCATTCCTGATCATCCGTGTTTAGGTCTATAAACAGAAGGTTAGTTTTGCAGCCCAAGTACTTGGGGAAGAAGAGTTATGGACAACAGTTCCATGCTGACACAGGGATTCTTCAGGAATCACGTGAGCTGAGTCCTCTTGCTTCTCTCAGTCTCCACCCTTTGTTTACCTTATCTTGATCTCTTGAAGTCACAAGGAAGGCCATGGCTCCAAATGAAGCCAGCCTGGGCCCTGTACTGGAGGAAGTAATTTTCCTGGAAGACTAGATTCCTCTAGTTGTACCAGTAGGTCAAAAGGAAAGGATCAAGTGCTGTGTCCAAATTTGCTTTCTATTGGTGTGATAAAGCCCATGACAAAAAGTAACTTGGGGAGGAAAGGTTTTATTTCATCTTACAGCTACAGGCCTTCATGAAGAGAAGGCAGGGCAGGAACTTGGAGGCAGAAACTAAAGAGGCTGTGGAGGAATACTGCTTTTTGGCTTGCCCCTTCCGACTTGCTCAGTTTGCTTTTTTTCATCCCAGGAAGGCCTACCCAGAGATGGCAACACCCAAAATGGGCTGTGCCATTCCATATCAGTCAGGAAAGGACCCCCACAGGCTTGCCTAGAGGCTATATGAGGAGGGCATTCTCTCAACTGAGGTGTCATCTTCTCAGATAACTCCAGCTGGTGTAACAGGTACAAAAGAACTAACCATGTCCTGGTTAAGTAGTTAGTGTTGCACACAAATCCTCAGGCTTGTAGATTGGCTCCATAATTTGACAGTGATGTTTCGACAGATTTTTAACTTCCTCATTCAGACATTTAAAGTGGTTCAATTGTGCTTTTCCAGGAACCTCACAGCCAGGGATCCCCGGGTGTTTCATTCGGTCTCTCAGTCTTTAATGTGATGAATGCCATCATGGGAAGTGGCATCCTTGGCTTGGCTTACGTGATGGCTAATACCGGTATCCTTGGATTTAGGTGAGGCCTGTTTTCATACTGTATCATCACGTTTTCATTTTCATAAGGAATTTTGGGTTATTTCTGAGGTTTTAGCCTTGTTTTGTTACCCTTGTGCCTAACTGATCTGTAGTTGGGAGGAATGGTATCATCATGCACAGCTTGAGGTATATGTATTCTTGTAAGAACATCAAGAGGCAATCAGTGACTCTGAAGACAGCATGGGCTTTAGTTGGGAAAGAACCTGCAGAGGGGGGCTCTGGCATAAGAATCAGAGCCTGCTGGCTTACAGCCTGAGGTAGTTATAGGGCACAAAAAGGAAAGGAGGAAGGCCACTGAAATTTCCCCCTTTTTGGCAGGTGAGTTGCTAGGGGTAGCTAAGGAAGTAAGGTGAGTGGTAAGAATGTCATGTGTTAGATAAGCATCTTTCCTAGTCACCCATTACTAAGGTCCATAGGGCACAAAGGGTGAGAATCTAGAAAGAAAAAAAAGTTAACTTAAGTTCTCAGAACTAAATGGGAATTGTCATTGTTTAACCAAAATAGAGAAGGAACTTTACCAAATGGAGTAGCCATTACAGCATTGTTTAACCAAAATAGAGAAGGAACTTTACCAAATGGAGTAGCCATTGCTAACTGTCTGAAGTGTAGCATTAGCCTGATTGATGGTTGGGTGATCCATGTAGAGGTGGCGAAGCCACTCACACATCTACACTATATGTTGCAGCCTGTTGCTCCTAGGCTAAAAATCATGTAGTATAATGTATTCTACATGTTAGTGCGGTAAAGCAGTTGTAACATAATGGTATCTGTACATCTAAATATACAAGAGATTTGGTAAAAGAAAAATGATGTTCCTGAATAGGACATGACTGTGAGAGAAGGTTGGAGAACTTTTTCTGTTTGTTTGGTTTTTTTTTTGTTTTGTTTTCTTTTCTTAGTTTTTTCACACAGGGTTTCTCTGTGTAGCTTTGGCTGTCCTGGAAGTCACTCTGTAGAACAGGCTGGCCTTGAGTTCACAGAGATCCGTCTGCCTCTGCCTCCTCAGTGCTGGGATTAAAGGAATGTGCCACCACTGCTAGGTTGGAGGACTGGTTTTAAGGGTCTTTTGTTTTAACTTTTTGCTTCTTGTTATAACAGCTTAAAATATAAACATGTCATTTACCATATAAAACCTTTCTTTATGTCCTTATTCTATAAGCTTTTAAAAAACTTAATCTACTCTTATTTTCACATTTTACTTTTTAAAGTTTTTTCTTTAAAACCAAGACACAAACACACTCTCTACCTGAGAGCCAGGGTCATCAGCATCAGTCCCCATCTTGTTCCCCTGGGAGGTCTTCAGGGCAATGCACACCTGAAGCTGTGGTGCCCAACAGCCTTTTCTGCATCAAGTCAACATTCCCTCTCGATGCTGTCAGACTGTAATTTTGTGAGGTCTCCAGTGTCAGTTTAATGACAGCTTGCTGCTTACTAATAAGTATTTCGTGAGTCACAAAGAGGATTTCTGTTAGTCTTGTGTGTTATACTAGAGACAGCAGTATAGCTAGAAGCCTGCCCTGCCGGAGTCTTCCCGAGAACAAGTAGGAATCGTTTTGTGCTGTTTGTTTATACTGTTTTTTTTTAAATTATGTCATTAGAAATGTGTTAATTGTGTTGTTTGGGTTTGAGCTGGAAAGAAGCTAGGAATTGCTTGCCATCTTTTTATTACAGGTAAAGCTCTGGTTTATGTGTCCACATCATTGGAAGGGGAGGGAGTTAGGGAGATAGGGTAAAAAGATGACATTGAGACTTAGAACAGGAAAAATGAGTCATTAAAGGGACTGTGTAGATCACTGAGCACTGAGCTTGACATCAGCAAACAGTGCAAAAGGAGGAATTTGTTTGGGTTTTAAGTAAAGCTTATTTCTTTTGATTTCTCTTTTAGTTTCCAAAGCACTGTATTTTGCTTAAGTGAATCTTGGTAAATTCAGAGCAGTCCTTTCCTTAATGTCTGTAGTTCTGCTCAAAGATATTCCCTTTGGCCGTCTGACAGTGAAGAAATCTGTAATGAGATGTCATGAAAAAGAACAAGTTCCGGAAAACTTAATCATGTGTTCTTTTATATTTTAGTTTCTTGCTGCTCTTGGTTGCTTTACTGGCTTCTTACTCAGTCCATCTCCTGCTTAGTATGTGCATTCAGACAGGTGAGTAACCTACCATGCTTTCACTGGATCCAGTTGCTTGAGTTTGTATTTGCATAAGAAGTGAACATCAGAGATCTAAAGTCTGAGGGTGAAGGTGTAGCTCAGTGGTAGCGTATATATTTAGTAAGCACAACCAGGACCCTGGCTTGGAACTCTAGCATCACACACACCCAAGAATCTAATTTCCAATGGGCATCTATCATTAATGGTGTGGTTATCAGCTTTGTTTTCTTGAGCTAAAGATGAAAGCTGGTGTTTTTGTCACTTATCTTTGGATTATATTTGTGTTCAAGTCCAACACAAACTTTATTTGTGCATGGCCAAGCTCTATTTACTCTCACTGGTCTTGTGGCTGCAGATTTACAGAAGCAGAATACAGATACAAAATAGATTTTTAAAGTGGGATTGTTCTGGGCTCAAACAAATGAGAACCTTGAAGGTAATTTTTAAGAGTTTTAAGACTCTTGAGAGTTCTAAAACCACCATTCTATTTTATTTCCCTTGTTTATGCATCAGAAATACCTATTTTGTTATTGTTGTTGTTTTTAATGAAAAGATTGTGTTATAAATAAGCTAGGTGATTCTTACGTAAAACCACCTTGTAATTCACAGCTCAGAGCTGCAACTCATACCAGTAGTTGGGTGTTTTTGACCATCAGGCTTCCCAATTCATGCCTCTGCCCTCAGGGTGAATGTGAAGGTAGATAAAAATACCAGAAGACAGTAGAAGCTATTATAAGAGCATTCTGAATTCAGGAATAATACCTTCAGATAGCATTTGTAAATCCTGTCAGGAATATCAATTGTAGAATTTCACTTTTTTGCATGAAAACCGTTCTATAATTAGGTTAGGTCTTCTAGCATTATAATATATTCTTTTGATAAATGTTATCAAAAGATGAAAACCTTAGTCAACCGTGTGTGGCAGTCAGCTTCAATTATTTGAATTATGGAATTTTAAAAATAATATTAATTTTATCCTTCAGACCATTTAGCCTTAAATTTCTGACACTGTTGTTTTTTAACTCCGGGGCACATAAAGTGAAAACATCTGTTTCTCTTTCCCTTTCCTTTTCTTTTCCTTTTGTAGCCTGCTTGGGTCCGTGAACTAACCTCTCCACTCATGGTTCTCCACTCATGCTGCCCCTGTCTCCGCTGATCGATTCCTCAGTCACTAAAGCTCTCAGGACAGGTAGGCTGCTTCTCAGTGTGTTCCTGTGAGACTGGAGAAGAGCATGTGGCTAATTGCCCCCTTAGTAGACTGTCATAAAGGGGTACTGTATTTAGGCTAGAGTCACTGGTCTTTATAAAAGGTAATTTGTCTAGAGTTAAAAGATAAAATGGAAATTTCCTGTTTATAAAAGGAAAGGGTCTTTTCACATGAAACTCTCTTACTTGAAGTCTTAAGCAGGGTTTCCGACTGTCAGGATATCTCTTGGGACCTGAGAAGGCATGTTGAGGTGCATATACCCCCCAGCCTTAGTGTGTTGACTATAAAATGGTCTTGGCAGCACTTTTTTCCTAGAATAAAACAAAATCATGACTGTAAGGTGTCAGAGCCATGATGAATGCTGAGTTCTCACTGGGACAGAGTCTTATACATGATGTGGTCTTAGAAGCAGTGGCTGCTGGTCATTGTGTGAAACCATGGCTTCTACTCTGGGATTTAGAACAATTGCCCTCCCTCCCTAGCTTCCACGTCACCATCAGGAGGGGATGAGTGTTCTGGAGCACTGTATCGCTTCTGGCTCCTCATCCCCACTGCACACCGAATTATCACCAGTTTGTGCCTTTAGAGCCATTGGTTTAATGATATTATGATAATTATCTCAATTATGTCAGTTCTTTCAGGAGTCTCATGTATCTTTCATTCCCCAGCCCCCATCCTGTGTGTCCAATCACTGTCTATTTTCTAACCTTGTGCTGCTCCCCAACTCTCAACACCCAGATCATCATGATGGGAAGCATGGCAGCAAGCAGGCAGAAAGCAAGCTAGAATGGGCCTGGTGTGGGCGTTTGTCACCCCCTGTGACATCTTCTTTAACAAGGCCACACCTCCTAATCTTTTCCAAACAGTTTCACCAACTGGAGACCAAGCATTCAAATATACGTGTCTATGGGGCCATCATTCTCATTCGAACCACCACAGTGGCCCCGCCTGGCCTGTAACCTTTTCTTTTTAAGATGTATTTATGTCTTTTATGTACATTGGTGCTCTGTTGTTTATGGCTGCACACAAGAAGAGGGCATTGGATTGTGAGCCGCCATGCAATTGCTAAGAATTGAACTCAGGACCTCTGGAAGAGCAGCCAGTTCTCTTAAGTGCTGAGCCATCTCTCCAGACTGGCCTGGAACTTCCTATGTAGCCCTGGCTGACCTCATATTGACAGAGTTCCACCTGCCTCTGCCTCCTAAGTGTTGGCATTAAAGGTGTTTGCCACCATGCCCAGCTCCCTTTCCTTTCTTACTGTAGTGACAACTCAAACCTCTTTAAGAATAGCATTTGATATAATGAGTGTATGCTCAGCAGTGTCATAAGAGATGTACGTGTGTAACCTTCTAACAACTGCATAAGGTAGATTTTGTCGTATGTGTTAAGAGATTGGCAAAATTAGATAGTGTATTTACCCAGGACTGCACAGCCAGTTCATTGGTGAGACGAACTGATCTTGCATTTCATAGCCCCAAGTCATACACAATCTGCTGCCATTTCCCTTGCAAACCTTGCGATCTTGCATTTCATAGCCCCAAGTCATACACAATCTGCTGCCATTTCCCACCATGCAAACCTTGAAGCTTATTTTCTAGAGGAAGTAAAAGAGAGTGCTGCACTTGACTCTGAGTCATCTTCCTGAAGGCAGAATGTAAGTGAACAGCGGCAGGCAAGCTGAGGAAGAGGCCTGATAACCATTGTAGAATGTTGGCATGGGCATCTCCTCTCATCGGGGATTAGAGGAGTGCTTAGTATAGAATTTCTTCTGCCCAAAATAAAATACCTCCAGCTACAAATAAAGAGGGCACCTTTCAAGAAAGACATGGCTTCTTCCTGTGTGACCATTGCATGATTAAACCTGTCACTCAGTAAGCCAGAGCTCCCGTTTATCGTATCACTACCATACAGTTTGTCAAGGGGTAGCTGAGGAACTGGAGTGGTAGGAAGCAACTGGTGGCTGCTCTCTGTTCAGATCTTTCAGGTTCTTACCCCAGTGTTTGACTCCAATTTTGATTTTTTTTTTTTTTGGTAAAGATTAATTAGATTAACGGTTCACAGTTGAGAAAAGGATTCATGCTAAAACAACCAACTAAAAAAAAAAAAAAAAAAAAAAAAAAAAAAAAAAAAAGGATACAGAAACAGCAGTGGGATGCCTTCATAAATATACTTAGGTGATAGGTCCAGAGCAGTGTCACAACAGATGCCGCAAGGATAGTAGCAAGAGGAACTGCCTTTGCAGCCACCCTGGAATGCAGTTGGGAGGGCCTTTATTTTGTTGTTATTTATTCTTACAAAACCATACTTATACCACAGGGTCTGCCAGGATTATCCCTCTTCGCAATTACACAAAGACTTTTATGCCTGCACAAAACTTGTATATAGATGTTTATAGCAATTTTATTTATAATTTCCAGGGAGTGACCAAAATACCCTTTAGTTGATGAATGACTAAGCAAACTGAGACATTGAAACAAGAGAAAATTGTTTTGTACTAATAAGAAATGAACTTCCAGGACCTGAAGTAGCATGGAGAAGTGATAAAAGCATGTTGTCAGGTGAAAGAAACCATATGCTCCAGGGTTCTGCTTGAGGTGTGTGTACACAAAAAATGAAGCCCATACCTTGTGGGAATCACCTATGCTACTTGTTCATTGCAGCGTTCTTCACAGTGCTGAAATATAGGAACACCCAGTGTGTCTTTAGGTAGATGGATAAGCAGTGGTCTATATGTATTTTGGAATATTATCCAACCTTTAAAAGCAGGCTCAAAAGGGGAATCTTGCCAGTGCTGGGAGCATGGGGGAGCCTGGAAGACATTATGATAATGGGAGATATTATGATAATGATAAGTGAAATAAGCCAGACAGAAAAAAAAGAAAAAAACGTGCATGTTCTCACTGACATGTGGACACTAAAAAGGTTTAGTTTAAAATAACACAATAAAACTGTTTGTCAGTGATACTGGGGCAGGGAGGAGAAGATGGTGAGTTCTTGATAGAGGGACACAAAGTTAAGATAAGGGTTGGTTGAGCCGACAATCCACACTGCCAGAGAAGCTAGTAAACAAGGGGGACCCTAAGAGAGACATGGTCCCCTAGAGAAGGGGAAAGGGTCACGATCCCCTGAGCAAATTGAGAGCACAGGAAGAGGGGGAGGGAGCTATGAGAAGGGAAGAAGAGGAAGGATGCAGAGGTCATTAGGGAGCAGAAAGGTTGAGTCAGGGGAAGAATAGAAGAAAGGATATGTGACAGATAGGGTTTTAGTTGGGGGGGGGCATGTTAGAGGAGGACGGGAGGGAGAAGGGAATGGGAATTGTCATGTAAAACAATCTTGTTTCTAATTCAAATAAAAAATGATTTTAAAAAAGATAAGGGTTGGTTATAGTTAATATTCAGTTTAATGGAAATTTGCCAAGAGAATAATTTTAGTTCCTCTTAGCCAAGAGAGAGGGGGAGAGGGAAAGAAGGAAAAGTTGAATGGATATGATTATTTCCTTGAATATCATAATTTCAGTATGTCTATCAAAATGTCAAGTTGAATACCTTAAATATATACAATTAAGAGAAAGAAGAAACCAACCAGAAAAGGTTATGTATGATTTGGTTCCAGTTATATGACATTGTGGAAGAGGCAAAACTATGACGAGTAAAGACAAGTGGTCACCAGGGACTAGGGGAGAAGGATGAATGGATAGGAAGAGCATAGAGAATATGCAGGGCAGTGATAGCATAATGGTGGGTATACATTCATCAAGATCCACAGAGTGTCCAGACCAAAAGGGAACCTT